CTCGGGGGGCCCCCGCGGACACCCCCCATCCACGGAGGGCCCCCCCCCCCCCCAACAACCCCCCCCCCGGCGCAAACCGGTGTCTCCAGACCACTCCCCCTCCAAGCAGGGAGGGGAACCCCCAACCCCTTTGGGAATGTGGGTTCCCTCACCCCCAGACTGACCCCCACAGGCAGGGCTAGGGACCCCCAGACCAATGTGCCCCTTGGATTGGCACCCCTGGGCGGGCAGGTTTGAGGGCCCCTAGCCTGGACACCCCAAAACAGCGTCTCTGCGGTGGGTGCTTCCTGGTACCCCCTTGGGGCAGGTTCCTGGGTACCCCACCCCTTCCCTGGGCTGGGGGCCTGCAGGTCGTCTCTCTTCTCCCCACCCAGGGTGGGCAGGAGCAGGCAGGAGGTGGGCATCGCCCTTTGGGTAGGCAGAGTAGGTCGCCGCAGGCAGGGTACCCCTAAGTCCTCTGATGGGCAGGGCTGCCCCAGCCGCCCCGGCAAAAGCCCCGCTGCCTATGGGGCAGCAGTGGGGCCGTGTCCGCCTGCCCGGCTCTGGCAGGAGCCCCTGGGCTGCCTGCGTGGGTGGGAATGAGCCTGGGAAGGGAGGAGGCCTGCAAATCGGAGGTGGCTGTTGGAAGCCCTCAGGTTCTCCCAACACTAATTTTTTTGTCTGTGTGAAGCACTTTTTAATGCTGTAATATGCCTCGACACACACAGGAAAAGATTGGCAGATGTCCCAAAAAGAGCAGTACTACCTCCATTTTACCCACTGGGACCTGCATATCCGTGTCCCAGAGATTCTCCTCCCGAGCAGGACTGCCCGGCCTAATCACTTTAGCAGAGCCTGGTGGGGTGTTGTGAGACCGGCCTGTCCTCCGAAGCCCGCAGGGGTGGTGTGGCTGGTTTTCCCTTGCTGCTTCCCTCTGAAGTCTGGTTCGCCCTCTCTCTGAACATCATGCTCTGTAAAATAGAGGAGCTGCCTCCTGCAGCTTTTGTGGTCTTCTGGGCAGTAGTGGAGAGCGGTGGAAGGTGGTGACCGTGTAATTGCTCGTTACCAATGCCTGTCAATGCGTCTCACCGTAGTGACGCTGTACGGCGTGTTCACCAACCACTACTCTGCGAATGGCCCGTCTCGCTGTCTGCTGCTGGAGCTGCTGGATATCAGCGTGTCCGAGCTGCTGCTGCACTCCAGCAACCAGGGCTGCTCCATGTGGATGATCCAGCATTGCGCCCGAGACGTTCTCGAAGCCCTGGCTTTCCTGCACCACAAAGGCTACGTGCACGCAGACCTCAAGCCGCGCAACATCCTGTGGAGTGCAGAGGAGGAGTGCTTTAAGCTCATTGACTTTGGACTTAGCTTCAAAGAGGGGAATCAGGTTTGGAATGTGCTGCTCTTGAAGCAGTTGGCTCTGTGTTGAGTTGTGTGGGTCTGTGACGCTTTTGGCTCATGCGTGTAGAAGTCGACGTGACCTGATCAGAGTAGTAGCTGAGCTGGTGCTGAGGGTTTCCTGGAAAAGGCTGAAGTGTTGTCTGGCCCTAGAAACAGAAGCTCGTGTTCCTGTTCTCCTTGCACGTCTCTGGTTTCTGTTGATGTCTTAGCCTTTGTGCTACACATGACCACAAATTCCAAAGTTAATGATGCACTGAAAAAAGTGGTGTCTCGGCTTCCTGGGAAATTTGCTAGTTTTCATGTGGTCAGATGAGTGGGAGCACCCAGATCTGTAGAATTTCCTTTTATCATCCCTTATCGTATGTAGTAGTAATCCAGGCTTCACCATCAGCCTCCCCAGTCAGTCACATTATCTCTGGCAGTGTCCTTGTGCTTGTCTTTACTTTCATCCTATCTTCAGCACATTCCCTTCTTCAGGAAGTCCGGATGTTTTTTTCCCATGTCGTTGTGTTGACAAAAGCCCATAGTCTGGCTGTGGGTAGGCAGTGTCCATTCTTTACTGACACGGACAGATATCTGCCTGTTCTGCTCTGCTTTTCCCATTTGCTGGGCTTTCACTCCCTCTTCATGCTGTCACTTTTTTGTTTTGGTGATACTGGATTTTGCAAGTTTGTCCTTGCCCTTTTTATTCTCTTCCATGGCCTCTGATGAAAGCAGAGCGCCTCAGGAGGTTCTGCGGTTTTGTTCCATAGAGCTTCCTTTTACCCCTCCCTCTCTCAGTAACTGCCTATGAGGGGTATCAGTAAAGCTTTTTCATCAAGCAGCCTCTTAGCAAATTTGCCTTTAATCACTGGGTGATGGGCAGTAAGTCTGGTAAATGAGGTGTGATTTTTCTGTGCAGACATTGTCCTGGCTTGTCCCTACTCCATGCACTCATTTATAGTTTTTAAATTCATAAACTTTTTTTACTGGTTTACCTGGTATTGACGGTACAGCCCACTGATCTGTGAATATCAGAGGATTGTGTGGGTGACCTGCCTCTGAATTCTTTGGTACAGGAGCTGTTTTTAATGTTTGTACTTCTTAACTCCTCCATGTTGTTCTTCAGTTCTCCCACGTTCTTGGCTGAACGCTGATTTATGCTGGTAATCTGTTGCTGTCTATCAGCAAAAAACATTCTCCTGGTGTCCTATGTCCAATACAGATTTATTTTTTTTTCTTCAGGTCAGTGTTTCGCTGCTTGCTCTGTGAGTTGTCTCGTAATAGTTGATCAGGTGTTTTATTTGCTTCTATGGTTCCTTCCAATCTTTGGGCTGAGTTTCTTTTGCCCATTCTCAGAAATATGCTGGCTATATGGGTGAACCTTCTGACCCTGCTTTGAATGTGCACCGGCTGTCAGCTTCCCCTCACCACCCCTGCCTTGGGCAGCAGCATATGTGCATGATTTCCTTATCTGAGTCAAGAGTACACTACTTTTATTTGTGACAACTCTGCCGAGCTTATCCTTGCATAACTTTCCCTCTGCTGTTACTGTTTAACAGAGAACGGCTGTACATAGAGCAAGGTCTCAGCGACTTACATCTCTCAAAATGCTTTAGATGGTAGGAGTGAAATTCCATCTTGCAATTTTTGCTGGTGGCATTGACCACAGTCTTTTCTTTATCTCTAGATGTTGTTTGGTGGGGCTGCTAAGCTTCTGCTTTTGCCATGCTAGAGGTTCTGCTCTTTGCTGATAGGAGGAGGAACGCTGATAAGCAATTTGTGTATCAATTTTTTTTTTTAGTTCATAAAACGCTTTTGAGCTCTGTTGCCTGAAAATGTCTTTTGTGAACTTTATTTTCAATCAGGGAACCAGATAATTTTGGTTTGAAAATATTCCCCTGGTAAAAATTCACAGTCCTGTGCCTTATCCAGGAAGTAGGCTTGCATATTCTTCTGTCATTCCTTGAGTTGCATCAGTGTGTCTAAAACAAGCCCTCCCATGTCTTTGGACACTTACAAGACTTGGCTAGCCAAAGCCACAGCTGACTGATTGGGTATTGGCTGTGTGCGGGAGGCTGGACTAAAGACCTTCAGAGCAGCCCCTCCAGCCAGCACTTGTGTGATTCTATAATTTCCTGTTTTCTTTTAAGCAGGCAGTATGTGCGCATTTTATTTTACTCTGCCAGTCATGGCAGCTGGGCAGGTATTGATTGCTGCAGTGCTTCTGGCTGCAAAAGGGAGAAGGAAGAGGTGTGTGGGAAGTGCCTTTGATAATTCCCTTGTCTGAGCATTAGGTGCCTGCTTCGTTCTTTTGATGTTTTGTTCCAGAGGACATCACTAATGGCAGCTGTTACTGATCCTCAGTGTTCAGACTGGGCTGTTTGTGCTCTCATGCAGCTGATGTGGGAACATGTTGTGGGTGTTTGACCCTTATCCTGAAACTTATAGTGTCTTCTGCGCTTATGAGGGGTTAATGGGCCAGTCCACAGTGACATCCAGCCTCTTCCTCCCAGCAGTGCTGTCTTTCAGAGAGATCAGATGTTAGTGGGATGCCTGCTGTTTTGCTGGGAGATGTTTTCTCTTCCAGACAGTCTTGGTTTTTTCCTCATCAACACAGCAGTATAGCGAGTTGAACTGCCTGCCTAATGTGACTGGCTGTACAATGCTTTCTGTCAATTTAGCAATAGTATTTTGGTGACCCATTTTGAAGGGCCTCTGTGAACTGATTTAAGGGTAGAGTGGAGAACCTCAATCTGGAAAATTCACTTTTTGTGTATGTTTGATCTTCCGTAGGATGTGAAATATATTCAAACAGACGGGTATCGGGCTCCAGAGGCAGAACTGCAGAACTGCCTGGCGCAGGCAGGGCTCCAGAGTGAAACGGAGTGTACCTCTGCTGTGGATCTGTGGAGTCTGGGAATCGTTTTACTGGAAATGTTCTCAGGAATGAAACTGAAACATACAGTCCAATCTCAGGAATGGAAGGTGAGCAAGAGCTGCTGCGGGCATTTTTGCTTGCACCAAACGAGTCCTCCTGCTTCTTGTTTGTAACCTGGATTTGTGAGGTAGCATCCGGCAACTAGAGAGTGTTTCCAGGATGTTTCTCTAATCCTATTGCCTTGAGAATTAAGGTTCCAGAGCCTTACATACCCACCTGCCCTGTGGGACTGGCATATCTGAATGCTGCCTGTGTTCAGGTTACTGAAAGCTGAGGGTTCCAGGAGTCTGTGCTCGGAGCCTGTGTCTTGCCAAGATTTGAGAGTGAGTTGTGCTGGCTATAGTGTGGCACAGAAGGAAGAACGAAATGGATGGCTGATGGCTGCCAGCTAGTTCAGCAGCACGATGACAGAGGAATTATTTGCTGGGTTTAGTCTAATGTTAGCTCTAGTTTGGGGATATTCTTGTAAGTCTATGTGCTGAGAAAACAAGAGGAAGGCTCTGTGTTGTGAGCCTGGAGCCTCACTCTGTCCTCTGTTCTGTATGAAATAATTTTGTTTTGTGTTCCCCTTCCCGGTAAGAGTATCCTTTCAGCATCATAATGTCCACAGTAACGGCAAATTTGCCTGCATGTGGAAATTTCCACCTTTCACACAGGCAAATAAGAAAAACTTCATCTGATGTGGGCCTGCTGGTTTAACGTGTGAGGCTGGAGCATTGGGGATCTTTCACAAAATGCCACAGTACCAGAGCCCTCTGCATCTAGGCCAAGAAATGATGGGATATTGTAAGCTTTGTGCTGGTCTTTTTTTTTGCTTCCCTAACCATTGTTTCTTTTTCTTTCCAGACAAACAGTTCTGCCATCATTGATCGCATATTTGCCAGTGAAGGGGTGGTCAATTCAGCCATTCCAGCTTATCACCTCAGAGACCTTATCAAAAGGTATCTTATCGTATTTACTAACTGTGGCTTAAAGATGTGCTCTGTAAAGTCTCATGCCTTGTTCTTGGTAACTTACAGTTGACACCTAAGACTTTTTTTTACAGGTTGGTTGGTTTGTTTGTTTAAATCTCCCTGCCACTGTGCTGGTAACAAGTGCAAGCATTAGCAGAGATGCTTCAGCTCCTCTGATTTTGGCACAGTTTGGAGTAAGCACATAAAGAATATCAGTCATGATGTTCACCGTTTGCTGTTTCAGTGCTTTGCACTTCCTGCCAATGAGGTTATATTTGGGGAAAACTGGAGACTTTGCTGCTTTAGGGGAGTATTGTCAGAAACGAGGGAGGGGGGCAGACAGTGCTGCTTCTCCACTGCTGTCAAGATTCAAATGCACTTGCACAGCGCTCTACTGAGAGGTCTGCCGAGGGGAATTGTTTTTGCTGTCCTGTGATTCTGCGCTGAGGCTACAGAGTGAATGAGGACACAACTTGGCCACTGGTAAAGCTGAGTAGGGGATGTTCTCAGGCAAGCCCTGGGCTATTAGCTGCTTTGAATCCCATTTGTGGAAAGATGTGGGAGCTCCCTGGAGTGCCATCACTTTCGTGAGACTGCATGTGTGCCTGAGAGGTGGGCTGAATGGCCTGGGGAGGTGGAACTGGAAGGTGTTGCGTTCCTTGTGAACTTGTAAGTGAGCAACCTCTATCATTTGGTGCTGAGAGACATTGAGATGTCTGTACCAAGTACCCAAAATGCTTTTAGGGGATCCTTCTGGTGTGCTTCAGCTGTGAATTGGAAGATGTGCTTCTCACTCTTCTCTTTGTACCATAAGCACCCCAAAGATAGGGTATTCCTCTGTACTGGCTTCCAGCCTGAGTTGAATTTGTTCATGCAGAGTGTTACATGCAATAGCATAAGGTTGTCTTCTCTTCCAGCATGCTTCATTGTGACCAAGGAAAGCGAGCCTCTGCTGAGAAGGCTTTATGCAGCCCATTCTTCAGCATTCCCTTTGGTAAGCTGTGCGCATCAGCCCTGCTTGCGGCTTTCTCAGCATGTACTGGAAGCAGCACAGAGTGCAGCTAAATTGTGTTGTTTCTGGTTCTGGCGTTGTTGCTGCTCCTTTGCTCTTTGTGGTTCTTGCCAGCCTTCTGTGGTACCACGGCAGGCAGGTCGGAGCGATGCCTGTGCTCTCAGTGCTGGCCTGCCCCTCTAGCCTTGCGGGCTATTGCTTTTCCCTGGTTGGACTCCCATTAAATTCTGCCCAGATCAAACTGACCAAGAGTGTATTGGCAGCAGCATTCATCTGAGGGGACAGAAGTAACTGAGGTATTTACCCAATATTGTGACTGTTAAGGTGCTTTTGAAGAGTGCAGTGCTATTTATGGTGAGTGGATGGTTTTTCTTATGCCAAGTGTTTCCCAGTTCAGAAGCCAGGAATGTGAGTGACTAGGGCAGTGGCTGGTGGTAGCATCTGCTGCTGCCTCCTCTGCCCAGGTCGAATAGTCCCGGTGTGTGTTCTCATGGTGCGAGTCTATTTTTGCAGTGACTGGCCTGCCTCTTCTGATGCCTGTGTGGTAGGTCAGGGACAGATGTTACTGTTGCTTTCATCTGGCACTTTCTCTTCAATTTAACAAAATGGTGGTGTTTCCCCAGACCCCGCCCCATGTGGGTTGCACGCTGTCAGCAAAGATGGGCTGAGACTGCCCTGTTTAGGCTTGTATCCCTCCCTGTTTTCTGTTCCAAAAGCAACACAGTAGCATTCTCCAGAGCCTGTCTGCTTTCAAGAACACCAGTGAAGAGCTCTGCATTCAGCTTTTCTGCAGCATAAATTAATGCTTCAGGCATCCAGCTTCTGGCTGGGCTAGCGTTTTCCCTTGAATCTTAGCCCTGCTTTTCTTAAGCTGCTTGGTGTACCTTGCAGTGAAGGTTGTTAAGTATTGCCTCTTGAGGTCACGTCAAGATACTGGCATTCCTGTGTATTAGGCAAAGGTAACAATCTCATTCCTGTTTTCAGATTGCTCTTGCATCTCAGAAACTGGGACTGTTGTAATCAAAGCCACCTTCCATAGCTGAACCTTGCAGCCAGTATTGCTTTAGAGCAGAGGGAGCAGTATATTGGCAGTACTTTTTGGTCTAGTTTTGAACACACGGGCCTCTAACTGTACCTAGGAAGGTGCTTCTGCGGTTAGTGCTACAAGTTTACATAACAGCTTCAATTTTTCTTAGTTCTCTTTGCTGGTTCTCTTCTTTGCCAAACTTGTACATACGCTTGTCTGCACAAAGAAGCATTTACTGTTGCTTTCCTAGGAAGTCAGAAAATGATCTGTCATTGCCTTTCACTTGGACACGGTTTTTCTGTTTAGAACAAAGACAGCTGAGAATGGCTTTCCTTGTCATTTACAGCCAAGTCTTGACTTTCCAGTTCATCAACTTCTTTCCTGAGCTGCTTGCAGGCTCTGTGTTGTCAGTGTGGTTGGTATCACCTGGCACTTTGAAGAGGAGTGGAGGGACTGGGCAGAATGTACCTCCTAGGGCAGAAGGGTATTGCAAGAAATGCATTTGTCAGTTGGTTACAGGAAGACCAGATGACTCTGAGTCTTAGGAATTGGTTTGTCTCCCTCTGAAAAAAGGCATGTGAAATGAAGGACAGACTGACTTGAATAAAAGGGGCAGCGTATAAGACCAAGGCAACACTTAAATGTTCTTTCAGTCCCCCGTTCATCTGATGTTGTCTCTTGGTTGCTAACAGTCCTGTGGAAGAATGATCCCAGAGGTTTGCTTGGAGCTGGAACATGCCTGATTATCTGAATGCAGCACCTTTCTTTGAAGGGCTGTCCCTGAGCACTGTCCGGGCATCATCTAGACTGATAAGGCCTTTCATACTCTAAGCTTTTCATAAGGACTCTTCCATGTCAGGCAGGAGGAGATTTATAGTGTGTGTGCTTGTCTATCATTTCCTCTTGCACTATGAAATCAAGACCTTCTGTCTGCACCTGGTAGAGATGTCAGCTCCCTCGTATGTGTTGCGTGCTTAGCTTGGAAAAGTAAGTATTTCCAAGGAAGTAATAGCCCACTACCCTTGCAAACGTAGTGAGAAGGCTGAGACTGGAGAATTGGAGCCATTTCTTCCCTTTTCTCTCCCCTCTGTCACTGTCAAGCAGGAGAACTGTGAGGTACTGCTATTGTGTTTGGCTCCTGTAGCTACCAATACAAATAAAAACACTAACACTCTCCAAATACTGCAGGGTGGGCTCCCAGATCTTAAATTCATGACTGGCCTGCCAGCCCCTTTCACGAATGTGAAATCAAGCTTTTGTCCGTGGAGAAGTGACGCTCTCCCTGCTGCTTTGAGTTTCTAGGGGACTGGGTGTCCTCTCGGACGTGACTCTCAGTTTGGTGTTAGTCTGTCCACCTTGGCTGTTTCCTTCTTCCACAGTATCTATGGTACACTGTTCCAGGCCATCGTGGAGCTGCCTGTTTTCTAAAGCCAAGCGCCCCATGGCAGTGGGCTTTATTTCTGCTCCTGTAGAGTTGTTCACAGGATCGCTGCTCACCCACCTTTTGGCCACCTTCTTGTGGCCATGCCTTATTCTATAGCACTGCATTGTTCAAGTAACTAAATAGTTTTCCCCATTTCTGTTGCAAGATTGTATGACGGTCTTCAAAACAGTGCATTGCAGTTGGATTTTGAAGGGGGGAAGGTTTACATGGTGTTTAGGGAAGAACTGAAAGGTATCTTAGAGAGAGCTGAGGCTGGTACATTAGTATAGCTTAAGAATTGGAGTTACAGAAGCTGACTGGCTTGTTTTCAGCTTGTCTGGTGGCAGTAACAGGAGAGGCAGGTTGCAGGGTAGTTCTATCATCTTCTCACATCTCCATATATATGGGGCAGTTTGCTCAACTAGCATAGGTCTTGAGGTCACATCAGTTTCTGAATCTGAGCTAAGTAGACAATAATTCTAGTCTTAATTTCTGCTAGCTTTGTAATTTTAAAAGCAATTTCAGGTGCTGGCCTTAGTATAATTGCAGAGTGCACTGAACCCTTTGGAAGAGTGTCTCAGTGCATAGGTGAAGATAAGTTGGAAACAGGGAGAATACAGGCTGTAAATGCAGGTAATAGTGGAGAGAAGCAAAACCGTACTGCAAAGAGCAGTAAGTGCTTGTGTATGATAGTGCATGTTGAGTCAACTTCCTGTTTTCTTGCTCCTTTGGACTTTGATTTCTTTTCTTTTCTCTAATTCTGTGGGTGTCAAACAGCTCCCCATATCGAAGATTTGGTGATGCTCCCCACGCCTGTGCTGAGGCTGCTAAATGTTCTAAGTGATGCTTCTCTGCAGTGCGAAGAAGAATATGAAGGTTGGTGCAAGCCATGTGATTTCCATATAGGAATGTCATCTTACAGACTCTGTTTTGTTTGGCTTTGGGGATGCGAGAGCAAGCAGAAGAGCAGTTAACAGGTGCAAGAGCAGCAAACGAAGAGCTGCGCAGCTGAGATTTGGTACCAAGTGGGTCAACTGCACCAACAGATGATAGACTAAAAGATTGAGACAGAAAGCAGAGCTTGTAGTGAGTTCTTGAAGGATCCCAGATTTGAAAAAAAAGAAAAAGTTTATTTTTATTTTCTTCTTTGGTTAAATGCCCATAGACCTCATAATGTGTTTGTGGCTCTGAGCTTCTGCTGGATGTGTGCAGGACTCTTGAGCCCAGTAGGAGAGATCATTAAAAGTTTGCTAATGAACTTATCCAAGATCTCAGCAGAGAACTGAAATATTTCATTGGAGTTCTTAAACTGTAGCAAAAACTATATGTGGTAGGTGGCAAGGCATGCTGGTGGAATTTGCATTTCTGCTTGCTCTCAAATCCATGTGAGTGGCAAAAGTTAGAGAGCTCTAGGGATGAGAATTTAAAAAGCTGGCTTCTGCTCACACAAAGAAGGGTTTGTGGCAGCTACTTTAGTTCCCCTCCTCCAAGCGCCGTAAAAAAAAAAAAAAAAAAAAGGCACTCACAAATCCGAAATGTTTTAGCTGCTGGAAGGCCAGGCTTCGTGTGCAAGGAAAGGCACTGTCCATGTGCTCCAAAGCCTGCTGTTGGGGATTCATCTGGCCTTCATTTGTTTCTTGGCTCATCCTAGTTTTCAGAGTGAAAGACAACCAGCTCTTTCCTTTCTCAGATATCCTGGAAGACATAAGGGAGGAGTGTCAGAAATACGGACCGGTGGTTTCCTTGCTTATTCCAAAGGAGAATCCTGGTAAAGGCCAAGTAAGTGAATGGAGGGAAGAGGCTGTGTATTCCCACATACGCTCCATGTGCTGCAGGACTGCTGCTCAGCTCCTGGCAATCTCCTGGCTGATGACAGTACTATAAATAGCTGGTTATCTTGAAGGACAGCACAGGTTCCCTCCTGGTTATGTAAGGTTGCCTAACCTGGGAGGTGCCCAAACAGCTTTAGCAGGGGAGCTGGGATACGGGAGGGAAGGGGAGAAGCCAATGGGAGAGGAAGCGTTGAGGATGTAGAGCATCATCATACTTTCTCCCACCTTACCAAACACTCTCCCCTTAGAAATGAGGAGCAAGAGTTGAAATTCCAGTTCAGAGATACAGCCCCTTCCTTTTTTTTAGCTCCACTGCTCTGAGCTCAACCAAGGATAGAGGGGAAAAATTCATTCAGGAACTGTTTCCCTGGTTGCAGGGGCGAGAGGGGGCAAGTGGCATGCTGCACTGGAAGTCCTATTTCTCCTCTGTCTCTTTCAGGTCTTTGTTGAATATGCAAATGCTGGTGATTCCAAAGCTGCCCAAAAAATGCTGACTGGAAAGATTTTTGATGGCAAGTTTGTTGTGGCTACGTTTTACCCACTGAGTGCCTATAAGAGAGGATATCTGTACCAAAACTTGCTGTAGGCAGTAGCAACAATCAGGAGAGTTGTCTTGTTCCTCTTCCTCACATGTTTTACAGTTGAATGTACAAAAGAGCTTCCTAGCCCTGCTTTTGAGTCATCTGTGAAGGAGAGATGCAAAGGACTTAACTGGGCTTTGAAACCTTTACTGCTGCTTTGTGATGTGCAGAGGAGGCCGGGATGGCTTTCAGCGTGTGCTTGTGTGTGTGTTGTGCTTGCTCGTTTACATTGGGTGTGTGGCTTTGCCCCGGCGGGCACTTGGGTGGCAGGAGTGATGACTGTGGGAGCCTGGGAGGCTGAGCAGATCTTGGCAAGTGTTTTTAAGTCATTTGAAGTGAGACCATTTAAAGTCTTGGCCTTAGCACTTGACTTTGCTCTAGGGAGAGGATTTCTTTGATGAGCTTTCCTATAACACATGTGCTCTTCTTCAGTGTGGGGGAGGATGAGGAAGGCTTGCCTGCTTTTTGTTGATACCTGTAACAAATAAAGAAGCAGAAGCACCATCCTCTCTAAACTGGACCAGGAGGAGTTTTGAGTCTTCATGTCATGTAGAGCAGAGGGAGGCAGTGAAATCAGATCTGCTGAGCCTAAGGCGTTACCCTGTCACCGCTTCGCGACCTGAGAAGAGCCGTCCGTCTGGCCTGGCACAGACGGCATGCTGGGCTTAGGCAGCGAGGTGTGGGTGATGCTGCCTGCGGTGAGCTGAACTTGCTTGTATACCTGGGGTGGGCAGGGACTGATGGTTGGTTACATGTTGTCAGAGCAGTACCAGCCTCAGTCCCGACACAACCTGTAAGCACTTTGTAGCCTGAGGTGATGTGAAAACCCTGTCGTGTGGAGTCATCTTTCTAGCATATACCCTGTGCTGGCACTGATGCTCCCTAGCTCTGATGCCAAATCATCTGTAATACGTAAGCGTCTTTAGGTGATATTTTTGGAAAGGAGTGCTCCAGCACGCTGTATTCTTTGTGTCTCAGCAGGACTCCTGCCCTGTGAGTCTTATAAGAAAGAACAAGTATTTGTCTGTTGTAGGTCCCACGCTTGGCTTTTCTGTGTTGTGCATTTTGGTTTTGCATTAACCCATTAGACTTGTAGATTAGAAGCACTGACACTTTTGGTCCTTCACAGGTTACACAAAGGGCCTGAGGCTATCTGAGATCCTGTATGGAAAGGGCTCAGTCAGTCATCAGACTTGACTGGCCAAGAGAAGGTCTTTTCCAGTGTCAGGGATAACAGCCACATGCTTTTGGGGGAAAAAAAATACCTGGGCGAGCAGCATCGCTGTTCCCCCCAGAGCATGCTCTCTGCTCACGTGGCTTCAGTGCACAGGCAGAAGCTTGCTCACGCAGCTACTGGCATGGGGTAGGCGGTGGCTGTTTCCCAGGGGTGTGCAAACCCATACAGCCAGCGGAGCCTCTCCCTGCAGGGGTGGGCACTTTGCTCCTGGTGAGCACAGCGTGAAACAGCCCTACTGAGAGGGGGACCAGCGTATTCTGGCTTGTGGCCCTGGTACCAGCTTTAGTGAGGAGGAGAACCCTCGTGAATTCTTTTTCCAGCTGAAATACTTGTGGGCAGCTGCCTGAACCATCCCTGAACCATCTCTGACCTTCCCTGGAATAATACCTGAATTACCTTGCAGTTTACTTTTTGCATCTTGCTGATGCTGGACTTCCTGGAATCCTGCACTCAAAAGTTCCTCTTGATTATCGCCCTGTGCGTGCATGTGCGGTGTGTCAGCAGATCAATGTCTGTAGCATTTCACGAGTCTGCGTTCCTCTCTGTGCTGGTGTAGAGTCCTGTCTACTGTGGCCCTTCCCAAACTCCCCCCGAAAGGACCAATCTCTTTGAATTTTTCTGTTGCCTTTGAGGTGGTAGGTTTTCCAGGAGGAAAAAAAAAAATAAAAATCCCACAATGAGTTTTAAGGTATGATTTGCTGATCAGACTTTTTCTGGGAATGATGCTACTTTGGTGTACATAGCTTAAAGCAGATTTGCGTAGATGGGGCGTGTGATTCATTGCTTTTAATTTAACTGTCTTGCAGTGAAGCACCTTTAGTGTCTGGGAGGAATTGGATGATTAACTGTGTGAGGGGTTTTCCTATGTGAAGACCAGTATTTAAAGTACTCTAAGTATTGGTAGGTACTGACTGACGTCCTCAGCTCCGAGTTGTTGTTGTCCCTGGTGGACTGAGCCAGGCGTGAGAGTACTTTGGCCCAGAAATTCACGTGTTGAATGCTGTCATGTCAGCAGCATTAAGCTGGCTCTGTGTGTGTGCTTGTCAGCTGGCACCCGAGAGCCCTTGCCCTGCTGAGTGCCAGCCTGTGTGGGGACCTAGGGAGCTCCCTGGGGTGTGGGGCGTGAGGTCTGTCACCTATAGCAGTATCGGGACAGGGAGATGCCAGGGTGCAGGTGCAGAACTTAAATGCATTTAAGTTCTCACATGCATTTGTCTAGGACTGTGAGCTGCTCTGTCATCTTTCAAGCATATCTCTATTTCAGTCAGAATTATGCTTTGGATTTGCAACTAAAGATAAAGAGTGGTGCCAGGATAAATCTTTAAAGAGGAGCTACAACCTGTTCCTGCAGCATAGTAGAGCTGTACCACCAGAGTTTGGCTGGGTTTTTTTTGTTCAGCTGCTTTAATAGGAGCTAAATAAATCTTCAGGATGCAAACTCCTGCTACCAGATTTTCTCTCCAGATGCTCATTGACCAGGCTTGAGCACTGAGCTGGGCAAAAATCCCAAAGCTGCTTTTTTTTATTTTCCTCCTGGCAAGAGTTGAAGATGCTGATCTCTGTCCTGTCACTGGATCCAGCCCCTTGCTTCCCTTTGCAGGCTGTGGGGTACAGGGAGGTTTAGAAGATCCTCTGAGCAGAAGTATTTTATCATTATCCCTCACCCTCTGCCTTCAAAGCCTTTTTCTGTCAAGCTAAGCTCACTCTGGTGTCTCAGTGATCTATTGGTGGCTTGGCATAAGTTTCAGACCTGCTAAAACCTGTGAATTTCTTAACTCTAGATTGTATCTGAAGTGTGCATGGTGATTGAATCCAAGGCATCTGTCCTGGTGTGTGCCTGGATGGGCCTGGCTTTCCTCATTTCCAAATTACTGCCTGCTTGAGTTACAGAAGTGTTGAGGTTTCCCACTCGGATGCTCGCTGGGTTTCTTGGTCTGTGCTGCTGACACAGCTCCCTCCCGATAGCCTTCAGTGTAGCACCAACCTACGTAGTCCTAGCTAGGTGACAGCTAGCTGTGAAAACCCACCGGCTGTCTTTGAGGGAGAGATCTGCTTTGGGGGGAAAGGGATGAAAGACGAAGCCTCTGGAGACAGCCAGGGAAGGCTGGCACTGCTCCAGCGGGGTGCCAGGGCAGGCACCTGTCCCTTCTGCCCAGGAGGAGGCTGTCCAAGGGGCTGCGTCCCCTTGGAGCGTGTGTGTGAACAGGAAAGACGCTGACACTCTGCCGTTCCTTGGTGGTGTTTGGGTTTTGTAGCTGATCTGACACACAATGTCACTGCCAATCGAAGAATAGCTGTCCTTCCTCTGCCACCGATGTCTGTGTGGGAGCAATGAGGGAGAGAGGAAGTTCTTTGCACTTCCACCTGTTTATTATATGCAAGGAGGGTAACTGGTTTTTAAATCACTGGCCGAAGCACAAGTCAGCTCCGATCTTAGATATATTCCTAATTTTATTCCCACTGGTCTCCAGCCTCCTAATAACATAGCCTGAGCACTGTGTTGCACCCGGGTTGTCTTTCCAGAGCGTTCCGTACGCTTCCTCCCGCCGCGCCGGATCCCGTAACCACGTGCCTCCTGTCGGGTTAGATGTCAAACGTTGTATCCCGTCACGCACCGTTGCTGAGCAGATGTGTGCTTGATACAGATGATTAATAAATGATGCTTCAAGTACGAAGCAGTTGTCCAGCGTGATTTTCTTGTGAGACCGCCGGTGAAATGCCACGTAGCTGAGCAACTTCTCTGTCACCCTGTGCCGGCGTGTCCGTCCGGGGGGGGACACAAGGCTGTGACCCAGCCATGGCGGCGCTGGCATCTTGTGCTTGGCACCCACAGCCGTGGGGGCTCGGTCGCCCCACACACCAGCGCGGCTGAAAATCCCGGTGGGAGCACTGGGATGACCTTCGCTCGGCCAGAGCCTGCCGTGTCCCCTCCTGCGGCAGCACCCCTTACTCATGCCACGCACGGGCGTTTTCCACGCTCCCTCTGATGTAACGGTTTCTGAAGTGACTTCATCCGGAGGGAAAATCTCCTCGGCTGACGCGGGCCGCTCCCCTGGGAGATGCTGCGAGTTGCACAACGTTCTGCAGGCGTTGGCGGTGTGCGGCTCCGGAGCCAGGAGGGGATGCGAGGGCTGAGGACCAGATTTTTGGCTGCAGCCCGTGCGGGTGTTACCACACGCTCCCCTAATGACCAGGCCTGGGCTTTCGGCAGCGGGCTCCCGGGGCACGGCCGGCTGAGGAGGCTGAGCTCTGGGGGGTCCTCCTCTGCAGGGAGCTCGCCTGCCCGTTTTGGGTGGGTTTGTTTTTTTGTTTTTTTTTTTCCCTGCACGCCTCTCCCCTCTTGCTGCAGGGAGGGGGACCGCTGCCCCACGCCCCTGCCCGGGGGTTCCCCGGAGGGCCCACCCCTTCCCCTGCCCGGTTCACGAGTGGGCAGGAAGGGGTGAGGCTCTTACGGGAGAACCGGCTCTCCGCCCTGCCCGGAGGGGACCGGGACCGGGACCGGGAGCGGGGCGGAGGCCGCCCCACCGCCGCTGAGGGACGGGGACCG